CAGCTACTTTTTTTTTTGTTTGTTTGTTTGTTTTGGTTTTTCAAGACAGGGTTTCTCTGTGGCTTTGGAGGCTGTCCTGGAACTAGCTCTTGTAGACCAGGCTGGTCTCGAACTCACAGAGATCCACCTGCTTCTGCCTCCCGAGTGCTGGGATTAAAGGCGAGCACCACCACCGCCCAGCCTGCTACCTTTTAAAAACAGTGTGAACAGGGTTGTGGAGATTGCTCACAGGTTAACAGTTTTTTTGTTTGTTTGTTTGTTTGTTTGTTTGCTTTTTTTTTTTTTTTTGAGACATGGTTTTTCTATTTTGTCCTGGCACTAGGTCTGTAGACCAGGCTACCCTTGAACACACAGAGATCTGCCTGTCTCTGCCTCCCAAGTCCTGGAATTAAAAGCATGCAACACCATGCCTGGTCTAACTTCCCTCTCCTTTTCTTTTTTCTTTCTTTCTTTCTTTCTTTCTTTCTTTCTTTCTTTCTTTCTTTCTTTCTCTCTTTCTTTTCTTTTTCAAGACAGGGTTTCTCCTGGAACTTGCTCTATAGTCCAGAATGGCTTCATACTTAGAGATCTGCCTGCTAAGGTTGGGCCACCATCACCTGGCTTGTTTATAGTTAACAGCTCTTGGAATTCTTCTGGGTACCTGGGTTCTGTTCCTAGCACCCCCATCTGTGGATTCGCTATCTGTTCTGATGCCCTCTGGTTTCTGTGGGCACTTGTATGCATGTGGTGCCCACAAACCCACACACATACACATAAATGAAACTATAAGCCTTTAAATATAAAACAAAAAGTGTGTGGTGGTGGCGATTGAATCTGTAGCCTTCTGAATATAGGCAGGGGCTTGTCCATTACATCACTCTGTAGCTGCCATTGTAAGCTCCATCTTAGCTAAGTTATCCCCATCAGCTTCTATTGCATCTCCTTGCCTCTACTTTCTGAGCTAAGACAACAGGCCTACAGCACTTAGCCTGCTTATATATTGAATTCTGGGTTAAGATGATAGCAATAGAAAACATGATTGTCAATCATCTAAAAACAATTTAAGAGAGGGATTGGTGAGATGGCTTAGTGGTTAAGGATGGCTGCTTGCTCCTCAGAGGAACTGGATTCAGTTCCCATAGATCTGACACCTTCATACAAACATACATGCAAGCAAAACACCAAAGAACATAAAATAAAGATAGAACAAAAACTTGGAGAATTTTTCCCGATGTGGCAGTACAAGCCTTTAAGGCAGGGCCAGGAATTCAACAAAAAACTCATTGCTACCATCTCCATATGTTTTATCATCTCCATAATTATGTCTACTAGAAAAATGAACAGACCACAAATGTTCCACTGTCTGGAAGGATTCATTCTGTATGCTTCTGGGGACAGGAACTACTTAAACTAAACTACTTAACTAAACACCTGGTAGGTGGTCAGTATGTATGTAGAATAAATTTCTTCTGTAGATAGGACTTCTCTCATTTCCACTGAGGAGTGTGAAAAGATGATAGTTAAGTTTGACCATTTTCTGTACTTCTGTATGTTCAAATTTTGTACACAGAATGTAAGGGTTCCTATTTTCTTGGGCTGGAAATGCAACCGAGGTTTTGTTTTTGTTTTGTCTGGAGGAGGAGCAAAACAGGCCAGGATGGACTGGGGCTCAGTCTGTAGCTAAAATCTGGAATACACAAAGAGTTCTTTTTCGGTTTTGATTCTTTTGAAAATAGGGTTTCATTCATGTATCCAACCTGGCTGCAATCTTATGTGCTGAGAATGCCTTTTTTTTGGAGGTGGAGGATTTGAGACAGGGTTTCTCTGTAGCTGTAGAGGCTGTCCTTGAACTAGCTCTTGTAGATCAGGCTGGTTTTCAAACTCAGAGATCTGCCTGCCTAAGCCTCCCGAGTGCTGGGATTAGTGTGTGTCACCACCACCACCCAGTGAGAATGCCTTTAAACCTTTACATTTTTGCTGATGCCTTTAATCCCGAGGCAGAGACAGGCGGATATCTGTGAGTTCAAGGCCAGCCTGGTCTACAGAGCAAGTGCCAGCACAGACTCCAAAGCTACAAAGAAACCCTGTGTGTTTGTGTGTGTGTGTGTGTGTTGGGGGGGGCGGGGCGGGGGCTTTATTGTATTTTAAAAACTATTATGTAACACATTGGGTAACACTGTGACATTTTAAAGTTTTTATGACCACAATCTCCCGACCTCCCAAGGCTAATTTATGTGGTACTAGAGATCAAACCCAGGACTTCATGTCTGCTACGCAAACAGTATCCCCAGCAGTGGTTCCCAACCTTCCTAATGCTGTGACACTTTAATGACGTTCCTCATGCTGTGCTGACCCCCCAAATATAAAATTACTTTTGCGGCTAACTTCCTAATTGTAATTTTGCTACTGAGCAGTGCGCCTCAGTTCATATGACCATACGACTCCACAGGTTGAGAGCCTCCGCCCTCCAGTTAAGTTCCCATCCCTATACGACTACTTCGGAAGACAGACCTCTTTCAGCAGATTCAAGGATCAAACTGAGGCTGTCAGGGCTGCTGACATCTTGCCAGCACTGCATCAGCCTTCTGTCTGAGAAGGTGACAAAAGCACAGTTCAGTAAACATATCAGAATCACTTTGCCTTTGCAGGGTTCACTCGGGATTTTTAGGTTTTGATATAGGTAGCCCTCCCCCAAACTGTAATCACTAGGTCAGGCCTATAATCCAGTGTCTAGGAAGCTGTGGCAAGAGAATGCATAAGTTCCCACAGTGTGTGGGGCCTGGCAGGAGAGTGGAACTGTATTCCAAATTGAACATTTAGATATTTCTAACTTAAAATATCACTCCAAAGTTCCAAAATCAGTGATATGCAGAACATAGCTTATGGTGATTGCCCTTTTAACAAAACTATGCCATCTCTCGTTCTGAATATTATTCTTAAATATTCTTAAAAATATGGACTTTTTAGCCAGGTGGTGGCGGCACACGCACTTGGAAGGCAGAGGCAGGTGGATCTCTGAGTTCGAAACCAGCCTGGTCTCTAAGAACTAGTTCCAGGACAGCCTCCAAAGCCACAGAGAAACGCTGTCTCGAAGAAAAAAAAAAAAAAAAAAAAAAGGCTAGAGAGGTGGCTCAGTGGTTAAGAGCACTATCTGTTGTGCTTCACAGAGCCGGGTTCGATTGCCAGCACTGACATGTCAACTCACAACTATCTATAACTCTAGTTCCAGGGGCATTTGTCATCTTCTGCTCACTGCAGGTACCAGACACACACATGGAACAGACAAAATATCAAAACCCATTTTTAAAAATCATGAGTTTCATTAGTCCAAGACATTATAATCATTAGCTCTATTTTCAGTCATCTTGAATCAATGTATCAATGTGATAAGGTTTTTTTTATTTTTTATTTGGTCATACAAGACGTCCAGGCTATCTTTATACTAAATTAAAACTTTATTGAATAAAGAACACTCTCCCGAGCACATGATTGCTTGGACTAGGTCTACATTACATGCAATGAAGCTGAACATGACGGTAGTTTAACATGGGGAATGTCAAACAAATTAGTTTTTCATTGTACAAAACCATTTATGTAGCTGACATGCAATAAGAAAAATATGATACTCAGCATTTCACCAATCATATGTGTAATGAGTTTTTTTAAAAGGCATTCGAAGAAACTGGTAGATGTCTTTAGCATATAGTTCAAATAAATTAGTCACATGTGCACTACTGAAACCTCCTTTAACCCCTCTTGTATTTCAAATAAAATCTTAGTGCAAACATCAAGGTTGCTCGTCACTCTAAAAGACTGTTAAACTCAGAATACAAGTTCTGAATTAATATGTAGTTAAGTAGGACAAAATCGAATTACCAGTTACTACAAAATTCCTTTAGGCACACTTAATAGTCCACTCTAAGCATTTCTTTTTCTAAGTCTCTCACATTAATGACTAAAGCCTGTTTACAGTACTAAAATTCTATCATTCAAGCATCAATGATTATATTTCAGAGAAAGGAAATCATTCATTTCAGTAATGGCATTATTGCTACATTCTAAAAAGAGGGGAAAAAACATAATTAACAAAACCAGTATCCATAATAGGATACATAGAGAAAAAAAAAAACTTTTAGGGCAAAAGTGTGCTTTACTCGCACAGCAGGAATTCTAGAATGTAAACACCATATTGGCCCACAACACAAAAATTCATGAGGAAGGTTCAAATTTGAACACTGTGTGCATTAGATTCAAATCTGATTTGTGAGTTTATACTACCTCTGCTTGTACCAATAATGACAAATAAAACACACTCTTACACACACGCATACCCACACGTAGAAGTGATTGTTAAATATTGAGCATGGCTTGCTTCCCTGATGCGGACTCAAAAAGCAACCACTAAATGACATTATTCGACCGTTAGAAATGTTGAGAGAAACTGTTCCGTGAATGTAAGGAATAGTTGAGGACAATGTATGGGTGCTGGTGACACAAAGGTGGGACAGATGGGAAAAAGAACCCGCTGAGATGTAATTACATGGGCAATCTTTTTCTTCGAGCCTTGTCTGAACTTCAAGAACGAGGATTATGTATAGTAAGTAGCACAAGGTCCATCCTCACCTAGGTCAGCCTCAGACCGCTTACCTGCAAACTGCAGTTTTTTGACACTGGAATGTTTTAACAGGGACATAGGACAACCTATCATTTCATAAAAAAGAAAAAATTAAAAAAAAAAACAAAAAAACGCAATGCTGAGGAAGAATGGATTCCTGGCCAAAGCTACTTCTGTTTCTTGATAAAACAAAAAATAAAATCCATCCCCCACTCACTCACATATACAGAACCGTTCTTAAGGTTCGGTTGGGGGGCAGAAAGAGAAAGCCCTTACCTAGCTATGATCACCCAATGCAACGCTTACTAGAATTTGAATCAACTACATTAAATTATCCTTATGTACCTCCCATATCCCCACCTGCTCCACCCAGCTATCCCAAACACCCCCAAGGAACCTAGGTATTATAATGTCTTTTTTTCTAAGCCTCATAGTTGAGGCTGTTGAGTACCACCTCCATGGGAACAAAATGAACACCCCAGGTACACTTTCTGTAAGCACCCCTCTCCTCCTCCACAATCGAGTGGCGTCTTTATGCCGGTATCTAGATCTCCAGGTCATCCGGCCGAGGTCTGCTGCTGGCGCGGCTGCTGGCTCTGCTGGAAGGGCGCTGGTCCACAATGGCTAGGGGCTGGAGTTCATGTCCAGCAGCCATTTTTTTGGCATTCTGGTTGTCATCGGGGAAGTCAAAAGGCTGGGCGTGGGAGTTGGAGATGGTGCTGCCGGCCTGGCCCATTCGATTTTGCTCCGCGCTGTAATTAGCCCAGTTTTGCTCGCTCGCTTGCTTGTTGTAATTGCGGCAGGAGGAATTGTTTCTGTCACCGGTAACCAGCTTGTACCCGGGAGGAGACATAGGCGAGAGGGGAGCTGTTGGTGACGAGCAGCCATTGAAGTAGGCATATTTTGGAGAGCCACAGTCTTTTGAGGGGCTCAGTGGGCCGGTGGTGGCGTGGTAAGGATCGCTCCTTCCCTTCACGCGATCCTTAACGCCCTTGAAGAAGACATAGAAGAGCTCAATGATGTTCAAAGCGAGAGACACCAAGGACACCACCAACATGAAGATGATGAAGATGGTTTTCTCTGTGGGCCGCGAGAGGAAGCAGTCCACCTGATGGGGGCAGGGATCTCTTTTGCAGGTGTAGACGGCACTCAGGCTGAAGCCGTAGATGTACCACTGAATGAGTAGGAAGGCCACCTCGAAGACAGACTTAAAGAGGATACTGATGATGTAGGTTCTCAGCAGGCCCCCCCTCATCTTCACCTTGCCGTGCTCTTCAATCCCGTACTTGAACTTCTTGATTTCAATCTGCTTCAGGTGCATGTCCACATTGGCACCGTCCGTCTGGGCCACTTTGAGCTCCTCCTCCTTCTTGTTCAGCTTCTCTTCCTTTCTCATCACATAGAACACGTGAGCCAAATACAGGAGCGTGGGCACAGACACGAATATGATCTGAAGGACCCAGAAGCGCACGTGAGAGATGGGGAAGGACTTGTCGTAGCAGACATTTTCACAACCAGGTTGCTGAGTGTTACAGCGAAAGGCGGACTGCTCATCACCCCATGCTGACTCAACCGCTGTCCCCAGCAGCAGGATTCTAAAAATGAAGAGCACGGACAGCCACACCTTCCCGCCAGCGGTGGAGTAGGCTTGGACCTTGTCCAGAAGCTTCCCCAAGGCACTCCAGTCACCCATGTCTGGGCACTTCCTAAGGGAGAAAAAAAAAAGCAACTCAGTGATTTATAGACCCAAATTATTGGTGTGTTATGTTTCTTTTTAAAGTGACTACCAAAATAAGGCAGATTCAATTCAAACCAAACCAAAATTCAAGTGCAAATCTTGCCGCATTTCCCAAAGATGAAACTAAGTCAGAAGTAACAGCACCTAGCTAGTTGAGGGAGAAGAACAACCCTAAGCCCTGGGATGTATTCCTAGCTGTCACCACCTTGCCATGTGACCTGAGAGGCTCTCTCTCTGCTACGTGACTCTGCTTTTTGTTTTGTTTTTCAAGACAGGGTTTCTCTGTGTAACAGCCCTGGCTATCCTGGAACTAGTTCTGTAAATCAGGCTGGCCACAAACTCACAGAGATCCACCTGTTTCTGCCTCCCAAGTGTGAGCCACCACAGCCTGGCTGCCTCTGCTTGTTTTATTTGTCTGATAAACAAGGGCAGTTCGTGGCTGGAAAGCCAGGATCTGCATGCATGCTTAAGCAAAACCCTGGTGTGTATTACTAAAGTATAGGAGTCTAAGCAAGGTCTTAGGAAGGACCTCTAGGGCCTTACACAGCAACAAACCCTAGTTTCAAGATGCTAGGATATTGTTTTACTCCTAACTGTACTCTGAAATGTTTCTCTATGACATATCCAGCATGTGATTTGTGTGCATTCTGTGTTAAGGACATTTGTCCATTTATCTTCCTTTCTTTGATGGCCCTCCTGCATTGGCCCAAGTTGGTTTTGAAGCTGTGTTCTTGCCTCTCTGCCTCCTGGTACTCTTCTAGGCATAGGCCACCATACTAGGTCTGATTTCTAGCAGGAGTCAAGAGAATTGCTATGAGTTTAAGGTGATCCTGATAGTTTGCCTAATAAAAATCTCCAGACTTCGGTGCACTTTTCCACTGAGTTCACTTTGTCTCCACACCACTTACCAGCTAGATAAACAAAATGACCATACATACCAGGAGTATTTTCTCAGCCCAGCAGTGGTGACCTTGCCTTTCATCCTGGCACTCAAGAGGCAGAGGCAGGCAGGCCTCTAAGTTCAAGGCCATGCCTGTTCTACAAAATGATTTCCAGGACAGCCAGGGATACACAGAGAAAGCCTGACTTTTTGTTTGTCTCAAAAACAAAGAGTATTTTCTCAAGCAAAAAAATAAAAAATTGCTTTTTGCAGCTTTAGTGAGCTTCGGGCCTGGAGCCAATGCATTCACTTGAACCTACCTTATGCCTATAATTTCTGCACTCAGCAGGTAGAAGACACAGGAGAATCACTACACATGAGGCCAACCTGGGGGTTCCAGGCCAGCTAGGGCTACAAAGTTAGGCCCATCTCAGAAAACAAAGCAGAGATGTGGAGATAGATGACTTAGTGGGTAAAGGCTCTTCTTGCCACCAAGCCGGACAACCTGAGTTTGAGCTCAGGACTCACACAGCAGGAGAAAACCTCCCTTCAAATTGCTGGGATAAAGGAAACAGCTTCCTGCCTACCCCAAAAACTCATGGTCCTCAGACCCAAGACATCCTGATGGTCATACACAGGCTCTGAAGGCAGAGGAAAGTTTCTCTGAAGTTAGGAAGATGTAGATACAGTTTACTCAATGAGGGGGGAAACCAGGGACAAAGTAACAAGTAGCAGTCAAAGATTCAACAATGTAATGCCCAAAACTCCTGAGGGAGGGGTGTGGTTGCGAGCCTCTCAGTGCTGCCTGGGTACCTTTGATGATGACCAGACTCCTGCCAAAACCAGAAGAGTAAGATGTGGGTGGGCAGGTCCACGCAAATAATATTTTCTAAACAGCCATAAACAAAAGGATCTTTCCTTCTTTTTTTTCCGAAGTTCATTTCAGACTATGAAATGACAATTCAGAAAGCAAAAGACAAGCAAGGAAGGGCTGGCAGCGCCCAGAGTTAAAAAGCCATGGAAAGGCTTGAAGTGGAGGGGATAATTTCATCGTGATAGACAGTATAATGGTTTGAGAACATCAAAGAAAAAGCCTCAATTTAGCAGAAATACTAGACTAGAACTGAAGGGTAGTCCACAGGGGTCAAACAAACAACAGAATTTTTGGAGCCATCTCCAGACAGTTCTTTGTGATGATGTGTAAATTGGCCCCACTTCTGTTGTAAAGAGTTGTAATATTCTGCCAGGGTCTTCTGCTTCTGCTCACTCAGATCTCCAATCGTTGGGAGGTGGGGTGGTGAAAACAAAGTGATTGGATGGTTGCACACACCTCATCAGGGTCCCACAGCCATAGATCAAGACAAGCAGCATCTCAGGGGCCGACTGGGCACCACACAAGTTTTTATCTGGGCAGCACCTCCTCGCTCTTCAAGGTGAAATGCAACTGGGGGATGCTGCTGGAAGTTCATTATTAAACTCTTTATATTCTGGACTCAGCAGCTTTTGTATAATTCTGAAATTCCTCAAAAGTATCCCCAGTGCCAGGGCATGTGAACTAGGTCACCAGTCAGTTCTCTGGGTAATAGATTTTTTTTTTTCCCTTAATTGCACCAGCAGTTTAATTGCAAAGCTGTCCTTTCTTTAAGCACCCACGCAGTAGTCATTTGCATTAATGAGTTACAGCCTTTCATCTGAATAAGATATGAATTATCCAATTTGGGCACTCTAGCTCCTGTGACATGCAGATACCTGTTATTACCCCTATCATAGACACCATCAAATAGTGCCTGATGTAATGGCTCATCCTGTGACTCTAAACTTAGTCACCTCTCTGCTGTTAGTTGGTCACTGTTACCCATCAACAGTTCTACCCACTGGCTGTTCTTTCTATTCACTTTTCCAAATCTTAAAGATCTTCCAGATTAAAAAAAAAAAAAAATTGGTTCTGCATAGGGTCTTGCTATGCACTCTTGATTAGCTCTCCAGCTTACTATGTAGTGCAGGCTAGCTTTGAACTTACAGCATACTTCCCTCCTTAGCCCCCCAGAACATAATTATAATTATACCATGGTCTAAGTTAATGGTATGTTCAGAATTCTCAGACACGGGTTCTCTTTTCACCTTTTCTTTTCCCCTTTGAGTCAGGGTCTTAAGTAGCCCAAGTTATCTTCAAAATTGACATACATAGAAGGATGGCCTTGTAAAACTTTTGTTGTTGTTTTACTTTTTTGAGACAGGGTTTCTCTTTGTAGCTTTGGAGCCTGTCCTGGAACTTGCTTTGTAGACCAGGCTGGCCTGGAACTCAGAGATCGGCCTGCCTCTGCCTCCTGAATGCCAAGCAATGGTGGGGCATGCCTTTGATCTCAGCACTTGGGAGGCAGAGGCATGTGGATCTCTGTGAGTTCAAGTCAGCCTGGACTACAGAGTGAGTTCCAGGACAGACTCCAAAGCTACAGAGAAACCCTGTCAAAAAATCAAAACCAAACAAACAAAACAAACAAAAGGATGGCCTTTGTACTCCTGCCTATAGCTCTGCTGTAATTACAAGCCTGAATGAACACTCAATTTAGCTCAATCTCCATCCTTAATAGCAGATTCTTGATGGAGAACAGGTCAATCATTTTCTAGTACTTTCTGTAATGCATCCATGCTAGATCACTTTTTTTTTTGCTGGCAGCAATCACCAAGACCCCAACCATCCACTGTGACCCTCCTGAGTACCCACTTGGTCTCTTTACAGCTGCTGTAGAACCTCACCATTCACACAACAGTGTTTGCTGACATACATGCCTGGCACTCGGGATCGAAATGAATCTGAACTTCTGGTAGGCAAGGCCAGGGAAATCAGCTTTTGTTTTGTTCATTACGATTTATGCCGAAGGTAGTTCTAAAGTAAAGTTTTGTAAGCAAGCAAGCAGTGGCTCCTCAAAAGTTTGGGTGTTTTCCTGTCCAAAAAATATTTCTGACTGGCAGAACATCTGGGAAGGAGAGAAGGCCAGAGTGTCTAAATATTTAGTCCAAGATACAGAACATTCAGGGACAGCAGCACTCTGCCACCTGTGAACTGAGGTTACCCCTGGGTCCTCTGGTTCTGTCACTGACTCCCTGCTACTAGCAGGGATCACAAAAAAGGAAATGTTTAACCTAAAAATAAAAAGTTTAGGTTTTAAATAAAACTAGCCATCTGTCCCTTTTCCTGGATTCTTAACAAATCATCCTGAAGAAGCTGCACTCAAATCACTTGCTGTTGGTATCACAGTAACATTGCCACTAGGATAACTGCTAATTGTACAGATTGTCTGATAGACAACTATAATGATGAGTAAGAAATAAAATTACTGATCACTGAAGTGAGCCTTAGTAGCATCTTTCAAAAAGGGTCTTGGGTAGCCCAGTCCAGCACTGGGTTTCCTTTGTACCTGAGGATAACCTTGAACACTTGATCTTTCTGCTTAACTGAAGATTACAGGTGTGTACCAACATGCCCAGCTGGTAACATTCTCTTTTGGGAGAGCTCCCTATGTAAACTAGACTGGCTTCAAACCCAGAGATCTGCCTGCCTCTGTCTCAGGAGTGCTGGGATTAAAGGTGTGGGCCACCATGCCTAGCTAGCAATCAACTCAGAAAGAGTGAAAGTGAAATCAGATGAAAGTCCTTTATTATTACTTTTTTTTGCAGATGTTATTTGAATTAGAAACAAGATTGTTTTACAAGTCAATCCCAGTTACCTCTCACTCCCCTTCTCCCCCCCAACTTAAACCCCACCTATCACATATTCAGATGAAGGTCCTTTAATATCTCAAATACAATTATACTGTCTAAAAAATACACAAGGAAATAGCTACAGAAGTTCTTGATAAGTCACTTAATGGGCAATTTAACAATTTAAAGGAGGAGGTAATTGCTTTGTGTGTGTTCCTGCCTGCCCCTGCTCCCACCGCCCTCTTAAACCAGTGTCTGGAAAGATAGCCTGGATGGTTTACCTTCTCAGCCTTCCAAATGCTGGGATTATCCCAGCTCCATTGCGTTTTTGTTTCTCTGTGTAGCACAGGCTGTCCCTGAACTCAGAGATCTACTTGACTCTGCCTCACAAGCACTGAAATTAAAGGTCCGTGTCATCATGATCATCATAATATGCTAAATCCAAAAAACTGTATTCCCCCAAAACTTAAATACAAACCCTAAGGAAACCTGCCTCTTAGACCAAATATGCTCAATTTTGATTTTCCTTCCTCACTTCCAACCACAGCCAAGATTTTTTTGGCTGTTTGTTTTTGGCAACTTTAAGTTGACACATAATTAACATACCAGAATTTAATGTGCACATAAGCTTTATCTTCAAGATAAAATCAGGCTATGACTACCTCCTCTCCCCATCCTAGCATTTAGCCTGACTCACCTCTCTTCAGTTTTCCTGCCGATCCTCCTGCCAAAATATTTGCATCTCCGTTCTGCACACACACATCTTCATTTCAGTTCATCAAACTTCCCTGAGCAGGAACTATGAAAGAGTCCTTTTCCCAGGTCCCGGAATTTCCTGCTTCTCCTGTCCTTTTTTTTTTTTCTAAACAGCTTTCCACTATGTCACGTAACATACATTTGCTTACTGTCAGGATCCTCTAGAATGTGAACCCTGTAAGGGAATCCCAGGGAACTTTCATCTGGCATAATCTCAGCATTTAGGAAGCAGAGACAGATGGAACGACCAATTGAAGGTCAGAGTGAGGTCTATGAAGAGACTGCTGCAAAACAAAACAGTGAGCAAAGCTCTTTTAAAAAGCCAGAGGGGCTGGATTCAGCACTGAAGAGCACTTGTTTCCCTTGCAGAGGACAAGGGTTTGGTTCCCAACATGCCTATGGCTTCAGTTCCAGAGCATCTATGCCCTGTGGTAATCAGGGGTACACAGTTCATTCACATATTGAGACTCATACACTTAAAACGAAGGTCATTGCTTTGTGTCCTGCCCCCCCCCCCAAAGTAGTGTCTAAAACCACAAATGATGATTTTGCTCAAAGACTGATATTTGTTGAAACAATATGCTTCAATCATTCAAGTCACTTAATTTTCTTTTCAGAGACAGAGCTTCTCTGTGTAACCTGGCTGTCCTGGAACTTTGTAGACCAGACAGGCCTCAATGTCAGAAACAGCCTCCTCCCCCGATTCCCAACCATTGAAATTAAAGGTGTGTGCCACCACACCCAACTTCAGTGCCTTAAATTTGAGATGAGACCTTAGCGGTGGTTAAGATCCTCCAAGAAATGCCTGTGTCCCCCCAGTTCTGAGTGTTCTAATGGATGGTAACACACACAATTCCCCCCCCCCAAAAGCAGTCTGCTTGAAATGTTTGAGAATGACAAATGTGGGATATGATTCTGAATAGGCAAGGAGAGTTGCTAATGTTAACTGATTAATGTAATACCTCTACATAGCATGATTCCACAAGGCAACAAAGTGATCTGAATCCAGCACACTGAAGAACACATCTCCAGATCACACAAAAACTCAACCTTTGCAGCCTTATACCCGGAGTGTATGCTTAGCTCTATGAAAGCTATTCTATGTAAACACCATTGTCACAAACTCTGACACAGATTGCCTCAATTCCTTCCTTTCTAAGGCATTCCTTAATATTCCTAGCTCACAGGTGTAGACACAACATCAGACAGCTTTTTTGTCCTGCTTCCACACCCTCATTTGAACACAGAATAGATCAGATTCCACAGAATGAGATAAACTGTGGTTAAGGGACCCCACCCCAAAGGTAGATGGGAACCAAGAGACAATCTCTTCCTCCATTCTCCAACCACTCAGCTCCTCTACCAAAGGTTGCTCAGTCAATTTGAGGGATGGGGGAAGGAGAAACTGCAGAGCAAAAGCCATATTCAACTGCCATCCAAATAAAAAAGCCGTCACTTTTTATTTCCTCTGCTTCCACTCACACCACCTCCAAAGACAGCTTATTAAACAATCCTGTTACTCTGTGACTATGTAAATACAGGTTTAAGATGCACAAGTATATTAAGGACGGTCTATTTGCTTCAATAAGCACTCCATGAGACAACGCATGTGTTCTATGCTTTTAGCTACCACCACAATAAAATGTAGCACTTTCAAAAGAGCTGTGAATATCATGTCTTCTAACTTTGGTAGCTTTTTCTGTGGCAAAATAGTAACTAAAACTTTTGGAACATAACTTTCTAAAAATTGTAGACAGGTAGAAAAATTGAGACATGAACTTTAGGCAAGTAACCTCAACAACTAACCATGGGTTGAATTTTGGCATCTCTACATAGTACACTAACAATCATGCAAAGTGGAGAATCTGTAACCAGTTACCCCAAAGATTCAAAATGCATTCGCACCGTCCTACCTAGAGGCAGGTGAGAATTGTTTTAGTCTTGGAAGTATCTATACTGACTGTGGACGTTAACGATACACACTAGATGATTACATTTTTTCTCTCCTGAGCTGAGCAGGATGTGCCTCAACATATCACAAGTCAAACAGAAGCTTGGAGGTGGAGTCACAGGTATTAATCAGTGGGTGACTTTTTCTATCATTCCCTTCCCCCGGGGCATAAAAAGTTTCTACAGTTCACACGGAGAGCTACACCTCTGCATACGGTAATAAAGTAGGACACAGTGTCCGCCATCCCTTCTCTCTGTGTCAGGATTGGAGCCGTCTAAGTGACCAAACGCCGCTCCCTATCCGGAAGGAAATGCAGCCTTCCTTTGCCTGCAACTGCCGGCTTTAGAAACAAACTTCCCATGGAAGGTCATGGAGGGATAAAAAGCCCGACTGCCAAGGATGAGACGGTGGGGCAGTGATGTTGAAGAGCCTCAGAGAGTCATTATAAAAACGTGGTATGCGTTAAGACAGCGGGAGATCAAAGCACTACCATCGGGAGCAGCAGGCAAAGGACGGTGGTTTTTACACACTGGGGAGACAGTCCAGTAATTCAGAATTCAGCACCTCACCAGGACAGAATGTACAGTCTGGAATTGTGCTCATTTTCACTCAACTTGGCCTACTAAGCAGAATCAACTCATTTGCCCCAAAGGTATTCTAGGTCCTCATTAGCATATTTTATTCCACAGGCTTTTATTTTCAGCTATTCTCAAAAAAAAAAAAAAAAATCACCATTAGGCTTCCTCATGGGACACTGCTGGCTGTTCAAGGTTGCCCAGTGGTCTTTTGGACTGGCACGATTCACCACTTTCAATCACTAATATTTTGCTTGGGGAACAAAGGAAATTAAACCCACCTCCAAACACAGCCGGGTAGGTTTTTAAGATCTCGATCTCTCTGCCCACCCGAAACCCAGCACCGGGAGGGAAGGGAAGCTCGCCTCCGGGCGCGGGCCGGGGAGTGCCGTCCAAGACTCTGCCAGACGTGCCCGGCGAGCGTTGGGTGGACCCGAGGGCGCGAACAGGAGATCTCTGCTCGGAACTCAAGGTTTGAATTTCCCAATCCTGAGCGGATTTGCCTCAGCACACGTCAGTAGCTGTGGCTCGGTTTCTCGAGGGGTCTTCTTTGCCCCTCCTTCTTCCGCCCCGCCTCGTTCTTAGGGAATTTCAAGAGTTTCCCCGAGTGTTACAAGTGCATTTACCAGCACTGGGACTCCCTAGGTATTCAGGGGCCCTTCCCAGGGGCTGCACCCAGCTACCCGACGAGTTTAGGGAGAATGGGGTGAGAAAGGGCAGCGTGGATGGGGAGGTATTAGACTGACAACTTAGTGATGAATTTGATCTCTTGCTCTTGGACCGGCGGGAAGCGGGCCCGTCTCCCCTCCCCCTTCGGGGGCAGAGGTCTGGACCGCGAAGCCCGGAGGCTGCGGAGAGCTGAGCTCAAGATGCTAAGATGGCAGGAGGGCGCGCAACCGGCCTCCCCAAAGCTTTCACTTCTGCTCCACTCTCGGCCTCAGCTGGTACAAAAAACAAACAACAAAAACCACTTCAATACAGACTCAGCTTGAATTATTTCGGGCTGGATTTAGGCGGGACAGAATGAACTCGGGGGCAAAGTGCTTTACAGAACGTGTTACCAATAATAATTTTTTAAATGCTTTAAGATGGAACCCTTTTAAACTGCACTTTAACATCATCTTTGCCTAGTGCTTAGCACCCTGACAGCGCCAACTCAAAATTGTCCCAACAGCTCCTAAGTGGCTACATGTCTGCGCAAGCAGGCTGGAGCGCGGGCGCGCGCGGCGCGGGGAGGTGGGGGGGGGAGGTAGCTCGCTCTAAAGTGCGGCTTCAAAAACGCCTTTCCCCCCATTCCTTCTAGGAGCTCGTGTTTTAGCAGTTGATTTTGAAAAAGCATCCTGGCACACACAGTCTCTAAAACGCCCGTTTCTCCTCTTAACGCTTCGTAAGTCACCACCACCCATTCAAGATTTCTCCTGCCCGGAGTTGCCAGCGTGGTGGAGTGAAAAGCTGGCTGTGCGTGCTACAGGGTTCGTCCCGAAGCACTGCGCTGGCTTGGACAAAGTAACTAGTGTTGCTCTAAAAGCCCCAACGGCAGCACCCTGATCTTCAGATCTTCTGGCTTAATCCTGAAAAGTCTAAGAAGAAACCACGTGGAAGTCAAGTAGCCGCAGCGTCTCAACAAAGCACCCCGTCACAAAAGGGGTACGCTTTTTCAAGGCTAAGGAACGGCGGCCAGTATTTCCATATGAAAAAGAAGCACGCAGTCTACAACACTATAGGAAGCACGTTAAGCAAACTCGACTGAAAAGTCCAACTCAAGAGCCCCCTCCAACTGCCCCCCCTCCGTCCGCCTGCAAGACCTACGCCATTCGTAACTACAGAAAAGTAAAATAGGGCTGCACAACAAAGAGCCAAATTCAGTAACTTGGCTCTTCACTCTACTTGGAAAAGTTTGAGGCTTTTACCTGTTGCATTGTCGGGAAAACTTTTGACCAAAATATAAATCAGCACGTGGAAACTAAAGGCACTTTGAAGTCCGTCATTCTACTTGCAGTACCCTAAGTCAAAAGGTGACAAGGCATTTATAAACCACAATAGAAGAGTTTTCCTTAACGAAAAAGACGCTAGAAGGTAAAGTGAGTTTTTCAAAACTTACTCTTTCGCTTAATGAAAGCGAAGCCGGCGCGCCAAAGCGGTGAGGCTCCTTGGAGGCTGAAGTCAAAGAAAAGGAGGGCTCAGGCTCCCAGACCTGTCTATTTAAAGTTTAAAAGTCTGCTGCTGTTTGGTACTTTCCTCACGCCTTCCCCCAATGAAAGAAAAGTGCTGATACCTCGTAAAAGCGCTTTTCTAACTTGGAGCACAGCGCTTTTAAAAGTTTCAAGCCACTGACTCAACTGGAAGGAGGGGCTAGGAGAAAGGGGAGGGAGGAAGAAAAGGCGGGGAGGAGGTGGGGAGAAGGCTGGTGAGCGTGGGGCTGAGCAGGCACTAGAAGCAGCCAGGGTCAAGATAAAGTTGTAGTTTGAACACGCTAAAGAAAAAAAAAAAAAAGAAAGAGAACAGCCCTAGATAGATTTACGTCCACCACCACTTGGCTGTGACTTCTCACAGATTAAATACTGTTGAGTCTAGTGCTTGCTTCACCAGATGACCAGGGACAGTGAGGATATGTACTTTTATGTTACATTTTCTAACCTAAAAAAACAAAAACAAAAAGTACAACAAATAAAAATGGGGGAGACAACGCTAACCAGTGCGGACTTGTTCTGGGTTGCCCAAGCTGTGTGAAGCTTGAGGTGGGTGTGAGTGATCTTTCTTATGACCTAATTCTCTTGCTCTTAAACATGGACAATTAACAAAGGAAAGAAACGGTGGGCATGGGAAAGACATTTCACAACCAGATGTGTGTAGGGGTATGTCTACCCTTTCAGCCTCTGGACTGTGTTAGGTATTTCTACGTATTCTTTCAACTAAGCACAAGAAGAAACGTGTTATGATATATCATGTATATAATTTTTGACTGAAGTGTTGATAGTGACCTCTACCAGATCTCCAAGGAAGTGAAAATTTATATCTCAGGCCTATTCAGGCCAACAATTTAACATTTAAATTTGCAGTGAGATGTCAGAGTTCTTTTTTTTTTTTTTTTACAACTGCAGACTAGAGTTGTCAGATACATTATCTTGCCTAAAGTGGCTCTGAAACCTTCATCCGCTCTTTCAATCATGTCCCTGGGAAGCCCAACCTGGTGACTGTTTGCCTCTCCACAAACTCTCTCCTCAGACCTGATGGGGTTTCTGAAGGCTTAAGTCATGTGGCCTCATTCCTAAGATCAGTAGCTTCTTTGAGGGCTCCCAGACATCCTCCAAGAGGGCTTGTGGTAGGACGAGTGCCATAAACAGGCTTCATTGGTATTGGACAGGGAAACCTCTTGGCCTTTGTACAGACATCCATTTGATCATGCTAAACTTTTCACACAAATACAGATACAGACCAAAGAAGGATGGCAAAGATTTCCTGGGAAATACTTCCCCAAGTATCTTCTCACTGCAATGACTAAGGACTGTTTGAAATCTCACCATTTGAGACACCAACATGCTCTTTACTTTGATTATCCCATTCTTATTAAGGTTTGCATCTCTTTAAGTTCAAAAAGGGAAAAGATGTAGAAGCAGAAACTATATTCTGACTTTCAAGGCTTCATGCTCAGCAACCTGAAATTAGTTGTTTTTTTTTCTTAACATTTATTTATTCTCTCTCTCTCTCTCTCTCTCTCTCTCTCTCTCTCTCGCTCTCTCTCTGTGTGTGTGTGTGTGTGTGTGTGTGTGTGTGTGTGTACAAGTGGAAGTTAGAGGACAACATGCAAAAGCTGGTTCTCTTTTTCCATCTCAAAGCTGAGCTAACACTGTAAGATCAGGAAGCAAGCACCTTTACCACGGATCCCTCTTATTGACCCTTATTAAATGTATTTACATAGTTTTTTTTTTTTGAGAAAAACAAACAAACTTCTCTCTGCATAGCTCCCAGGCTGTCCTGAAACTCACTACATAAACCAGGCTAGCCTCAAACTCACAGAGATCTGCCTTCTTCTGGCTTCCAGCACTGGGATTAAAGACGTGCACCACCATGCCTGGCTTATTCAGTTTGTTAACTGATACAATATAAGAGGTGGACATAATGTTTGAGTAATATGATGCTTTGCTACATGTGTAAAGTTGGTGTGTTGAACTCAGTATAAGCATATTTGTCTGCTGAAACATTTATCATCGTTTCCTATGGTAAAATATCTAGATTCTGAAAAGGAACTCTTTTTGAACACTTGATACATCATCATCTGTAGTCAATTTACCCATGCTTAACACACCACACTTAAAGGACAACCTCAGTAAAACCTAGTGTTCACAAATTGGCCACTCCCTGTTCCTCTTTATTTAATTTCCAGAAAGATTTGCTTGCTGGGTGTGGTGGCACATACCGTTAATCCCTCCTTCCAGGCAGAGGCAGGAGGATTCCTGTGAATTCAAGGCCAGCCTGGTTTATAAAGCAAGTTCCAGGACAGCCAGAGCTACACAAAGAAACTGTCTCAAAAAGCAAAAAAAAAAAAAAAAAAAAAAAATTTGCTTTATTTTTATAAAATTATTTGTTAAGTGCAATTATTACCAATATCTATTTTATTAATAACATTCCTATAATATCAATTCAGAATTAGTTGCAGAGGAAAAAAAAAGTTGTGATTGACAGCCTTTTACAATATAATTTTTTTCCCCTTGGTTTTTTGAGACAGGGTTTCTCCGTAACTTTGGAGCATGTCCTGGAACTCACTGTGGAGACCAAGGCTGGCCTCACACTCACAGAGATCCACCTGCCTCTGCCTCCTGAGTGATGGGATTAAAGGTGAGCGCCTCCACCACCTGGCTGGAATGGTGCTTCTTAATTGGAGAGTTGATGTCACTTTTTAATTTTGTTTACAAACACACACTTATGGGATTTTGAGATGCATAGAATCAATTTTAGGGATGTTACAGGTCATATGCTAACTGTTAAGTGATCCTTTTTCTTTTGAGACTGGGTCTATCTCTGTAGCACTGGCTTTGAACTCACCCAGTAGACCAGGCTGTACTTGAACTCAAGATAACTCTTATTTTAGCAAGGAACAGAAACATTAAAAAACTACTGGTGTTGAGAGGGACTTGGTGGTCTCTGCCTATAGCCCCAGTCACTTGGGAGTGTGAGGCAGGACAGCCAACTGACAAGTTTCTAACAAGCCTCATCAACAGTAGTGAAATCTTGTCTTAAATCAAAACAGGGTGTAGAGACTGTTATGAAGGGTGTTTCAGTGGGTGCTAGAATAGAAGAGAGAAGAGCTGTGACAACCGGAAGAGATGGGAAGAGGAAATGTTCAAACTTGATGATAGACTTTAGTGGGAAAATACGAGGCAGGAGGAAGTGGAGAATTTGGAAATTTAATTGGGAAACTATTACTAACACCAAAACAAAACAAAACAAAACAAAACAAAACAAAAAAACACAGGAAGTTGGGGAGTGACCCATCAGTTGGAAGACACAATAGTTTCACTCTGGATTATCCTGTGATGAAGAGGAGAAATGGCTAGGCAAAGATAGCCAAGTGACATCTCAACTGTGGGTTAAGGTGTTCTGGTTAAAAATCGTTAAAGATTTTCGATTAAGTGAAAAGAACAACAGTTTAAAGCCACAGGTTCCGAATTGTTTGTTAACAGAGGGACGGAGGGCAGTGAATCTCCAAGACAAAGCTCACAACGCCCACAAAGAAAAAGAATGACAAAAGCAAGTAAGATGGAGAAAGAGAAGGGCATTCAAAGGCTGGGGGTGGGGGACTGTTTGTAAGGGAAACACCACTAGCCCGAGGCTTTTTAACTTTGGGTATTATTCATTGAAAACAAGAGTGAATGCAGACCTTACAGGAATGAAGAGCTGAGGTGGAGCTTTAGGATATGGGAGAGTGAAGGTCGTTTCTCTCCAAACGAGTGAGGTTGTCTCCTGACGAATTGATATGTATCTCTTTGGACATTAAAATGTATCAGTAGAAGACAGAACTATCCAGGATTGGGAGGATAAAGAATGACATTGCAATGGCTCTCAGATACCATTATCTTTTTCATCCCTTCCTCCCTCCCTTCCTTCCTCCCTTCCTCCCTCCCTCCCTCCCTCCCTTCCTCCCTCCTTCCCTCACTCCTTTTTTCCTTCCCTCCCTCCCTCCCCACCCCGTTCCCCCTCCGTCTGTCTATCTCTGTCTCATCCGATGCCTGTCTCTGACCCCCCAGCTCTGGGTTAAAGGTGTACACCACCACTCCTGGCCCAGCTCTATCTGTTGCTGAGTTCTTTGTTGTTGTTTTAAATTTTGAGATAAAGTCTCACTGAACAGATCTTGATCCTCCTCTCTCACTTCCTGTGTTGGGATGCTGGTGAGTGGCCAGCCTGGGTTAGGTTTCCTTCCATCTGTATCACAATAATTTTTTTCTTGCATGCATCAAATTTCAATTTAAGCTAATATTTTTTAGTCTGTGAGGAAGGAGTGAATGTGAACTTGGAGCTCAGTAGCATGCGATATAGAAATGCTTTACTTAAAATGGCCAACCAATCAGATGGTGCATCTTACAGTGTAGCTTGTGTGTAACTGTGTGTCCTACTGTGACTAATAGGGAGCCACGCTTCCTTGAGTAACAGCTTCCCAGCCAAAGTGCACTAGAATCCTTTTCAACAAAATCTCTGAAACCTGACAATCACCCCTTAATCCCAGAGGACTGAAGCCTTGCTCCCAATTCATTTAGCAACCTGTCACCATCCTCGGAAACTATGTAAAGATCAAAGTTTGATTCTATCTAGGTAAAATTTCAACCCCCCATTCACCTCTTAGTGACTATGAAGCTAAACAAAGTATTTATAAAGAATTTGGGTTTTTTTGTTTAGCTTTGCTTTGCTGAAAGGGAAAGACGTTTAGCTCTGGATAAATATGTCTCTGGCTCCACCTTCTGTACAAAGTGAAAATGCACATCCAAAGAAGTAACTGGCAGCTCTCTTAGACAAAGTCACACCTATGCTTTCTTCTTCCCAACCCTTCTCTGTCTCTGTCCTTTTGCTTAATCTATATAGAAGCCTTTTTAACAAGCCTCAATTTTGCTTTAAAAAAATATTGCTGCTAAACCACTTGCTCTTTATTTAATGTTTTTTGGTACTATTTTTTTTTAATGAAGCTCAGTTAATCTTTTAGGATGTTTACATTTAGTTATGCAGTAAATATTTACTATGTTTTAGAAACTATGCTAGAAGTCCGTGAGAGGATTTTTAATTATGGGG